TTAATTGCTTTCCGAAAGCATATGACCTTAAAGCATGAAAATAACTTGGTAACTGCTTGCTGAAAGGAAAGAGGACTTGAAACACTTACTGATGAAGACAACCAACCGCCTTCACTACGGATTCCAACTCGATGTAAAGAAAACAAAAATCCTCACAAATGGACCAGTAGACAAATACCATGTGTGAATGCTGGACAGTGAATACAGAAGACGGAAGAAGACTTGCTGCCTTTGCATTCTGATGCTGGTGAGGAGTACTGAATTCACTGTGGACTGCCAGAAGAAGAAACAAATGTGTTCTGGAATGCTTCTATGAAGTGAGGATGGTGGTTTTCCTCTCATGCACTTTTTGGACATGCCATCAGGAGGGATCAGTCCCTGGAGAAGGACATCATGCTTGGCAAAGTGGTGGGTCAGTGAAAAAAAGCAAGACCCTCAGTGAGATGGATTGACCCACAGCTGCAACAGTGGACTCAAAAGATAACAAGTGTAAAGATATTGCAGGACCAGACAGTGTTTTGCTCTGATGTATATATAGGGTCACTGTCAGTTGGAACCAACTCGATGGCATTTCACAACAACAATTTGGTAACTATAGTATATGCAACCAATGATCTGTCAGTAATGAATTCACACAAGATCTCTAGCCATAATAATGCTTAGGTTATCTGAAACACTATCAGAATTCTTTCATACATGGAATTCCCAAAATTTTAATTACTATTTTGTTTTTCAATTCTTACGATGTATTTTGTATATCATGCCTGCGATATGCAGATGCCACAACCTTGCACGCTGGAAGTGAAGAGGACTTGAAATTCTTATGGATGAAAGATAAAAGAGCACAGCCTTCAGTATGGATTGCACATCAATATAAAGATAACAAAAATCCTCACCACTGGACCTATAAATAACATCATGATAAATGGAGAAAAGACTGAAGGGTCAAAGACTTCATTTTGCTTGGATCCACCATCAACACTCATGGAAGCAGCAGTCAAGAAATCAAACAACACACTGCATCAGGCAAGTCTGCTGCAAAAGATCTCTTCAAAGTGTTCAAGAGCAAAGATGTCAGTTTGAGGACTAAGGTGTGCCCAATCCAAACCGTGGTACTTTCAGTCACCTCCTATGCTTGTGAAACTTGGACAGTGAATAAAGAAACTGTAGAAGAGCCAATGCATCTGAGTTATGGTGTTGGAGAATAATATTCAAAGTACCATGGACTGCCAGAAGAGCAAACAAATCGGTGTTGGAAGAAATACTACAGTCAGAATGTTCCTAGGAAGCAAACATGGAGAGACTTCATCTCTCATACTTTGGACATGTTTTCAGAAGTGACTATCCCCTGGAAAAGACATCACTCTTGGTAAAGTGAAGAGTCAGAAAAAAAAAAAAAAAA